CACGCCCCGGGGACCCCGCGCCGGCCCCCACCTACCCACCATGTAGTTCAGCTCGTTTATGTGAGGCGTCAGCCTTTTAGAGAAGGCATTTTAATTACATCACTGTTCAGTGCCTCATACCATGAGACCTAGGAGCAGCTCAGGGCTTGTAGATACTTTACAAAACGGGTAATATCAATAATAAGCGAGGTCCATGTACTCGGAAGCTGCTGGTGACGTCTGTTCTGCCACCCAACAGCAAGCCTGACAGCAACATTACATTCAAGATTTTATAATTTCAGGTTCATTAGATTATCTCTATCCCAAAGCCACATCATAAAGAGGAGAGAGATGCTAAGATCTGTTTTTTTAAATGTGGACCACTCGATTTTACTCAATAAAAGAAAGACACTGATCTCATGGGGATGGCTGGCTGGGAACAGAGAAGAGTTTTGCAGGCTGCAGTCAGCATCCGTTAGCACAAATGAGGACCCTGTTTTATTCTGAACGGTCTACTCTCCATGGGCGTATGTGTGGTGGCACGTCCAAAGGATGCGTCTAAAACACAGACGTGATTTCAAGCTTCCATTAGAAGCACTTTTTTCCTGCCTGGGCTTGGCTGATGTATATCGGATTTGCTCTAATTATGATCTTTGAAATGGGGCCTGATGAGAGAAGTGGTATCTGAATTGCCTTGGTTGTATTTTTATAAATATGAATCATCTGCTGCTTTGAAAAAAGTTCAAGCCCTTTCTCCCGCATTTTCAAACCTTCTTAATTCCTTATAAAAATCCCCAACAAAATTAATAGGGAAGAAGAAGGATGAAGATATGTTTATATTTAATATTGCAAAGCCAAACACCAGATACAGCATCGCTTTGTGTACGGCTTTCACTGTACTGCATCACTGCTGCTTCTGTGGGGAACTCCCAAACTGTGGAAGGAAACCGAAGGAACCCCTTGGCCGTTTTGTTTCTGTCCGAGAACCAGGAACCGCGGGGACGGTCGGGCAGAGCGCAGGGCCTGGCAGCAGCATCCCCCGGGGTGTAACGGCTTTGGAGCCGCCGCAGTCCCCGGGGGCTGCGCAGGCGGCTGCCCCCTGGGCCCCCGGGGGGGGGTGGACGGGGGGG